TCCAACTTTGAGTCTGCAGGCCAATGCTCTATTCACTGAGCCAAACCGGTTACAGCTGTTACCTCCCCCTTCTTTAACCTGAGACCACATATACTTCTGGAGAGAGAAAGGGGTCCTAGCTCTTGTGTGCTTTTGTTCTGCACGGACCATAGAAGACAACCTCAAGTTCTTGGAGCAAAGCACCCTTTGAGTTGCCTCACTTAACCAAACGTACCCTGTAAGAACCTTCTGCCTCTGTGGGGGGGCTGGCCGCGGTCTTACCACCGTGGGTTCCGTAAGCAGTCTGCGAGAGACCCTGGCGAATCGCAGACGAAGCTGAGAAAAACATTCCTTTGGAACCACTTGGACTTGGCAACGGTAATGGAAGAAAAACAAACCCAGGAGGCCCACCTTTGCTGCTGTTCTCCGCCGAGGCGGCAACGGCTAAGCGTCCCACCCTCCCCTCCGGAGAGGCCACTGCAGGAAGCCTCCGACAAGCTCTCACCAGCCCTCCTCCTCAATTTCCCCTTTGAGATAGGCTGGTCACGTTTACCTGACTCCGAAGTGGGCTATTTTGATTCCATAACACAATCTCTCTCCGTTAGAACATTCATATGTTTTCTTTCAGCCGGGCTTTCGGGCCCGTGGCCTCAGACTTTCCCTCCTGTTTCATCTGCGGTTAGGGCAGCTGATGAGCCACAGGGGGTTTGGCTGCCGCAAATGACCGAAACAGAGACACCCTTGCGGAGGGCATCTCGCATGTTTACCAAACACGTTGCTCAGAAACACGCTTTCCGATGGGAGAGCTGTATGTGAGCATGGCCGTCTGCAGAAGGCGGGCCGGGCGGCTGGTGTACACATCGCTATGTCTCAGAAAGCCCTGCCCATCCCAACTTTGGTTCCCCCCTGCTCCCCAAACACACACCCGACAAAAAGGGCAGCCCCTGGGAACGCAGAAGCCCCCTCCCCGGCCTGTGCATCCCTTTGGAGACTGCATCTTAAGTTAGAGGTCAGGGACCTGCAAAGGGAGAGGCCGGGCCCTGGCCCGTGGGGCACAGGCTGCCCTGGGCCCTGGTCTGCTCAGAGAGGCACTGGAGCCTCAAACACAAGAAAGTATTCCTCGAGCTCAGGTCCTTTAATTACTACAGCATAAATACTTTCTATTTCACAACGCAGGCCCTTAGTCTCCCACTTCAGCTTGAAGTAAAAAGTAAAAAAAAAAAAAAAAAAAAAATCCACTTACCCTTGAGACGAGACCCCACAAATCACTGGTTAGGAGGGGAGGGAGCCATGGAATCTTTTTGCTTCTGACGCTAAGATCTCACTGAATAACTGCTCTCATGTGGGGAATGGAATGACTAGCCCCATCGGGAGAGAATCCGGGAAAAAGCTGCTTGTGAGCTCTCAGAGCTGCCCTTGCTGGGGAGCACCTGGGGCCAGACAACCACATGGAGACCCGCCCCCTCCTCGTGGCTTCCGGCCCCGCCCTCCATGATCCTTCATTGGGAGACTCGAGGAGTGAAATGGTGCATCTCCATTAGTGAAACTGTGCCTGGCCCCTCCAATAGTGCCTAACCAGTGGTCGGTAAACCGCGGCTCTTAAGCCACATGCGGCTCTCTGGCCCCTTGAGGGTGGCTCAGCGTTAGAACCACTCAAGTCAAAGAAGTCAAAACCACTTCTCAAACTCAAATCACCTGCTGACGCTAAAACAGCACAAAACAAAACACAAAACGGGGTGGGGGAGGGGGAGTCAATCTTTAGCACAAGGTAAGCCCAAGGCAGGCAGCGAGGGGGTGCACCTGGCTTCCACCCAATGATGGAAACCTGCAGCTTTCTGTGCCCAAATTACAGAATCCCAAACAGGTGAGAGGTTCCTGCCACGCTCAAACCTCTCAACACGCCCTGAGCCACGTGGCCGCCGGCCCATCCTATTGAGACCTTCCTGGGGGAAGCCTTGCCTGGCTCTTCCTGGAGTTCAGTTCCTGGGTGTCTGATGCCCAGGGCCACCAAGACCCCGCTATTGGGGGCAGAGCGCACACAGCCCCTCAAAAGGGCAGGGAGGCCACAGAGGAGATGCTCTGACCTGGGCTTGTGCAGGGAAAACCCTTCTGCAGAAACACTGCGCTGAGCTGCCCGAACTCACCTTGTCAGCATTAAAATTAACAAAATGCCTCGATGTCCCTGTAGTTTTAGGTTCTCTTTGTCTACAAGCAGTCACTCAGCACGGAGGACGTCACACCAAGTCTTTTCATGGTCTCCCTTGACATGAGACCCTCAAGGCATCCCCAAACCTATCAGCTGAGCAATGTGCAATAAAAAAAAAAACCTGTGTTGCTCCCGCTAGTATCGCTCATTTATTTGGGCACTGTCCCATGTGCCAAAAGGTTGCTGGTTCCATTTCTGGTCAGAGCACATGCCCGGGTTTCAGGCTCAATCTCTGGCAGAGGGTGGACATTCAGAAGGCAGCTACTCTATGCTCTACTCTCACATTGATGTTTCTCTGCCTTCCTCCAAAGGAAAAAAAAAATATTTTAAACAAAACACAAAAACCTGTATTGGGGGGATGTTTCTTTGATCAGCAAAGTCAAAAGAATGCCCCTCCTTACTCTGGAAAGTGGGAAGAAGTGCCCCCACATCCCGGTTTGGCTGCCTTTCCTGCCATGCTTCTCAGAAGAGAGGCAGACCCTGCCAGCACGGGGGTTACTTGGGAAGCTAAGGTGTGTGTTTGTCAGGATGCTCGCAGACCAGGTGAAGGAACCGTCTGAGAGGCCATGACTTTTCTCTTCTAGAGAGGGAGGGTCCGAGCCTGAGGCTGGGGGCAGTGGGCTGGGGTGGCAGGAGTGGACAGGACTGTCCCAGGGGCATCGCCGTGGTCTGGTCTGGGGGTTGCTTCCTGGGTTCTCCAAAAGTCTACCAAAACACCTTAGCCTGTGAGCCTTTCACCGAGAGGGTTTGGAAGTCCTCACAACATGATCTTGTTGCCTATTGGCGTCTCTAGTTGATGGTTCCCCGATTTAGAGGGAAAGAATTCGCTTTTTTACCCTCCTCCCCTGCCCCCGCTTTTTCAATTTTTAGCTCTAACCCCACAGCATAAAATATCACATGGGTTAAAGAAGGAACATTGCTGCTTACTTTTCTAGTCATGTACTTGAAAAGCCGGTACAATTAGATTTCCCCCCCATTGTCTCAGATCTGCCTCTGAAAGCTCCCAAAGCTGTGTATCCCCGTTTTCAGCACTCAGACCTCTGGCGGAGCACCTGTGGGCTGGTCCTGGGGGCAGCATCCCTGAGGGTCTCTGGATGTCCAGAAACATGAATGAATGCAGCCCGTGATGCGCATGCCTGACTTTATGCCCTTACATCCATTTTTCTAGAGGAACAATAGGATCACACAGCACTGAATACAATAAGTATAAGCGCCTGGCCTTCTCCTTTCGTCTTTTTCTCTTCCCAGTGTTCATCTCCTCCCCTCCCCCCAGTGTCTACTCCAGCTAACCCATTGATACCCGTTACCCAGGATCAAAAATAGTTCTCTTGTCATTTACAGCTCCTTATATTTAGGTACAAACGACAGGCTTTGCAAAACTGCTACAAATAAGAGACAATGTTCACCGATACAGTACGTTTCAACAGGCAGATATGTGGACACACAAGCAATTGCCATATTGGTATTAGAGACATTTTATTGAAAATGCGAAAATAGGAAATGTATTATAGCCTAAAATAAATTACATAACATATACAGTATATATTTATATCTTTAAAATAGTTTTGTGTCTAGGTTCTTTCAGTCTAGGAATTTTGACGAAATCAAGAATTTACTGAACGGTGTCCATATTATTAATATTATTTTTTTTTTTTAAAAGAAAAAACCCGCTTTCCAAAACTTAGAAAAATATACTGCACTAAATGGATTTCAAATGTATCATCTCAGGGAAGTATCATCACATAGTGACTTTGGAAGTTGTTTTTATAAAATGTCTTGCTTTATCTTGTGGCGTGGGAGGGGCGTACACGAGGAATTACCTGTACCGCACGGTTATGACTAAGCATGGCTGGGCCGGGTAAGACACCTACTTCAAAAGTTACGAGATACGACAGCCTGGCAGGAGAAGGCTAGGTTACGACTTAAAGCTGCTGCAGTCCACTGTGAAAACGAAAGGGTCGAGTTAGGGCGCTCCAATTCCCTTGCTCTAGCGCCACCTTCAGGAGAGGTGAGTGGAAAACAAGCCTTTCGGGGGAAGCCATGCGGAAGGATGCTGAAACTCTTGGAGGAGATGCTGCGCTTTGGTGACAAGGTTACAGTTAGCTCAGGTATGTACACAGCGGCGGCGGGGCAGGGTGTGAGCGCTCGGCGGGTCTAGCGGGAGGCCAGGGGAGATGGAGTGGTCGGTGCTGGCAGCGGGCTGTCCCTGTGGCATCGCACACTTTTCTCTGCATCCAGCTGCCCCGCACACACCCAGATTCCCCTCTTTCGTGGGAAAGGCCCCGGCAGGCTGGCCCTCTGCACGGGTGCAGTGGACAGGCGATGACTCCGTGGTGGCAGGCCACCGGGGTCTCCTCTCCCTGCACAGCCGTGCCGCTGGGAAACCGTGGAAAGCCGAGTTGTAATTCTGTGGAGTCTTCGGAGAGATGCAGAAGGGCAGGCGCCGTGCATGGCCTGCTGGGCAGTGGTGGCTGCGGGCTAGGGAGGGCAGGGCCGCAGTCCTTTGGTTCCAAGTGGACACTGTCCGAGAGAGGGGAGACGACGTGGACTACGGGGCAGCGATGTCCAGTGGGTTTCCGTGAAGCAGGGCATGAGGTCGCCCGTGGTGTGGGTTTTCACAAAGCATGGGCAGAGACCATCGCCAAGGTCCCGCTGCTGTATGTGGGAGCATACCCAGTATGCCGGAGTTCACATGAAACCTTCCAACCATGGCCTCTTTCGTTATCAAAACAACCGAAACCCAAACTCGACAGGAGAGGAGATGGCGCCGGGGTGTCGTCCCCACGGTCCCCGCCGTGCCCGTGCGTCCCGCGCCTTATTCGTTCTCCTCTTTCATCTCCACGATGTCCGTGATCTCCTCGGCAGCGGGGATGTCCGTCATGGCTGAGTCCTCCCCCTCCACGGCTGACTGGTTCTCCATCTTCTTTTTCTAGACCAAGGCAGACACGTAAGCGTGGGCTGTGGCAGGGACACGTCACAGCAGGGCCAAGAGCAGGGGGAGGCCCCCAGGGTCTCAGGCTTGGGTCTCGAGGATGGCTGGGGTGACCTCACCAAGCTGCCCCTTAGTCCAGCGTGTGCCCCTCTGTCTGGTTACCTGGACGCCGGCACTGTGCCAGGCACTCTGGGACATCCTGTCCCAACCACTCTCCCCGGTGCCCTCTGAACGCACCGTCAGCTGATGGCAACCTGCCTCTACCTGGGGACACCACTTCTGCCCCCCAATTCCCAGCAGGGCCTGTGCTCTCCCCACCCTCCGGCTCAGGGCCCTACAGACCCTTTGTCCTCAGGATGAGCATGTAACCTGATGTTGTGGGAGCATCCCTCCCTCCGGGCCAGTCCTGGGCTTGCTGTCATTCTCTCCCACCCTGTGACTGGCTGTCCTCACTCCGGGTGGCTGCCCTGAGGCCTTGACCCTGCGGTGCGGGCCCAGGAGCCACTCAGGTCTCCCTCCACCCGGGAGGAGGCTTCCCAGCCATGCAGGGAGCCTGTCCCCACGTCGCACCTGTTTCCGGTAGACGTAGCATGCGGCTATGGCGACCATGGTGGATTCTCCCACAAATCCCGCGAGGAGGGAGCCCACGCCCAGGGTGGCTCCATGGACCCTGGAAATGAGAAAGCAAAGGCTGTTAGTGTGTTAAATCCGTGCGGAGGCACACACACAGTGTCAGAATCCAGTGACACCCAGGAAAGGTGTAGACGAGACGCACTGGGCAATCGCATTCGGAGTCTGCACCTAATAAACAGTGCACCTGCATGGGACGAGGACCTGGACCTCCAGGCAGAGTGGCCTCCCCTGCCGGCCTCGGGATCTCAGCTCAGCACCACTGGTGGCCAGGCCACGTCCCCATCCCCCGCACCTCCCACCCCCCTCTCTGCACAGTGCGGGTTTCCAAGTTGGAGGGACCGAGTAACACCCCTTCCGAGGGAGACTGGGAGTTGTGGTGAGAGCTCAATGAATAGTGTGTAGGGGCCTGACCCTGAAAGGACTTTTCTAGAATGGATCTCAACAGCCTCCCATCCGGCTCGCAGGCAGAGAACAGGATGCAACTTTGCATTTCTACTTCTAGATATGAGTGGGGATTTCGCACAAAAAAAGCAAATGCAACCATCTGAACAGAACTCAAGTGGCAGGGGGACCCGAAGCCCCACGCCCCTGATGACTCACCCCAGGTAGGGCAGGACCACCAGGCTGGTGATGAGGACGATGATGCGCAGCACAGAGCTGGGGGCCAGGACGAAGGTCTTCTTCAGGGTCATCAGCCACCCGGTGAGATGAGCCCTCACGGTGACTGCAGGGAGAGCAAAGGGCTGGTCAGCACCACCTCCTCTCAGGGTCCTGCAGCCCGTGGTTTCCAGCCCCCGGGCAGCACACCGAGGTCCCTGGGGTGCTGGCTGGGACCCAGACCCTGCTGCTGCTGCTGCTGCCCTGGCATCACCCCATCCTCCTGTCAGGTTTCTGGTCCCTGCGTCAGACCCCGGGCAGCCCGTCCCTACCTTGGCTCCTGCCCCATCACCGCCCTGAGCGACCAGACAGTGAGTGGCTGCAGGCAGCTCCCTCCTCCACAGAGACTGCCCCTGGGAAAGTCCTGTCCACGCCATCCCAGCCCTTCTTTTCCCTCAGCCTCAAGCTCGGACCCTTCCTCTCCAGAAGAGAAACCTCAGGGAGAAGAGAAAACTCAGGGAGAAGACACAGCTGGCTGTGATCAAACCTGATTCGGAGTGAGGAGCAAACCTGGACCAAAAGCCCAGAGACAAGGTGTCATGGAGGGAAAGGGGCTGCTCTGTCCGCGTCCCTGATGTCCTCAGCCGTCCCCGACCGCAAACCTCCGTCACCTCCCTCCTCCTGCCCCTGGCAGTTCCCTGTCGTTTGGACAGGTGGATGTGCCACAGACACCTCGCCCCATCTCCCCTTCCGGACGGGAACTGTGGGAGGGCAGGCGCCCCACCTGGGCGCCATGGAGGGCTCCAGCCACAGGTGTGAACTGCTGGCTGATTTTGGTTTTGGAGGAAAACAGTTATCAACAAGAAATTCCCGGATGTATGGCCTCCACCTGGAGGGCGTTTAAGAAGTGCTCACCTGTGGCGAGGGAGTAAGCCCATTGGGAGGAGAGCCTGCTGTCCTCCCGCTCTCACCATGTGCCCTGCCAGCCAAGGGGGGAGGACTGCATTTAGGAGGCTCAGACACACACCTGGGTTTGGGCAAGGGTGCAGGTGAGGGCACAGGTAGAATGCTAATCTGGCTGAAACCGGTTTGGCTCCGTGGATAGAGCATTGGCCTGCGAACTGAAAGGTCCCAGGTTCGATTCCCGTCAAGGGCATGTACCTTGGTTGTGGGCACATCCCCAGTAGGGAGTGTGCAAGAGGCAGCTGATCGATGATTCTCTCTCATCGATGTTTCTAACTCTTTATCCCTCTCTCTTCCTCTCTATAAAAAAAAATCAATAAAATATATATTTTTAAAAAAGAATGCTAATCTGGTTGGCCTGCGACCCGCAGGCTGCACACACAGGTGGAAACTGGATCGTCTGCAAGCCCTTAGGGTGAGGGAGTCTCCAGTGGAGATGAAGCAGGGTCTCCTGGACCTCCACCCTCTTCCAGGCAACACTGGTGGCGCTGCCTTCCAGAGCTTGGCTCCCTAGGGTCCTGCCTCCCCTCCACCTCTGATCCTCCATCCCTCCGTGTCTGCCACAGCTGAGAAGATGACACCCAAGGGACCCAGCCTCCAGGGGTGCTGGGCCCCTCAGAGCAGGGCAGCTTGTGTGACTCAGGGGACAACTGGGCTGGCGGGCGCAGAGGGCTGGCCGAGCTCCATGGCCTGACTCTTAACCTCACTGGGCTCTCTGTAGGTTTTGGCTCCTCAGCTCCCTGACTGGGGTGGAATTTTTGGGCAAGAAGATTTTTAACAGGAAACAACATGCACTTGGCACAGAGTTTAATGGGGGAATATAGCACAAAGGTCTTCCTCCGGGCCTGGCTCCCCGGGGCCCTTGTCCTGCTTCCCAGAGGCAAGCACTGTTAGCCCTTCGGTGAGTTACTTCTAGAAACGGTATGCAGACAGGCAGGCAGGTACCCTGAACATGGCACACACAGGCATACACAATGGGCGGTACATGTGCTGCAGACATGCTAGCAGACATACGGAGCAACCGTTCTGCAGCCCGCTTTTCTCACTTCATAAAGCGCTACCTCCTTCTCTGCGGCACACCTCACACTACTCAGCCGATTTTCGAATTTTCAAACTGGCTGTGGGCTCCTCTCTGGCCACATGCTCTCCCGCCTCAACTCTGCCCCTCGATTCTCGTCTCCAGCGGTCCCTCTCTTTCTCTGTACGGATCCAGGTTTCACAGGCTGCTCCCCTCACCTCATTTTATTCCTGAAATTGGCATACCTACAATTTGACTTCTGCACCTACAGTTCTCAGGGGTTTGACACAGGCCTAGACTCGTGTCCCCACCACGATCAGGGTGCGTGGCCGTTCTCTGCCCCCGAATTCCTCACGCTGTCCCTGGGGGTCAGCTTTCTTTTTCCCGTGTTTGCAATCAGTCCTTTAAGAAACTGATTTGTTCCCCCTAGGCGTCGTGTCCTGAACTTTCATCCTACTGGGCCATGTCCCCGTGTCTTTCCGGTCTACGGTGAGGATTTGCTGTTTTGTCTGGGACACGATTGCAAACACTTGCAAAGAAAGAAGACTGAGCCAGGCAGCAGGGTGAGGAGGAACCTGCCCCTTGGTCGGTTTCGCTTTACCTGGGACGGGGAAGAAGGAGAAGATCCGCAGAGGAATGACGCAGAGCTCGGCGAAGGCGAAGTCCACGCCAATGATGTCTATCAGAATCTTCTCAGACACGTTGGGGGTCCAGAACATCACAAAGCAGAGCTGAGGGGATTGAGGGGGTGGGGGGAGGGAAAGGAGTCAGCCAGGTTGTGAGGAAAAGGCATCAACGAGTGGAATGAGGAAGCCAGGCATTCTAATGTCCCGAAAAGCTCAGAGAGAGGGTGAGGCTGGCATACCGGTCCTTAGGCCGCCATCACCCTGCTCTGTCCTCACAGCTCACTCTGGCCTCTACCCACCTGCCACATCTGCCCCACAGGGGCCCGGGCAGCGGCAGATGTGGACACACTGAGTGGGTGAGCTGCGGGCTGTTGAGCAGGGACCACTCTCATGGAAGGTTTAGCTGGACTGCTAACAAGCTCAGTCCGTTCAGGGGGAACTTGCCTGTTAACACAACTTTTACAGCTTTCACCCAATATTAAAAAGTGCTGGAAGCATCTGGATGCATGCAGCACCCCTGAATCAGCAGAGCCAATGGAGAGGGAAACATTGATGCTGAGATGAACCACAGGCCCGGAAGCCTGCAAGGTCTAGTCCAGAGAATGAGAGGCCACAGCCACGAGGTGGGGAACTCTGGGTGCTGAATCCCTTTGAGGAAGTGGGAACTGAAATGGACGGGGGTGGGGGGAAGTGGAGTGAAAATCCGGCCAGTTCCCAATTAATTCTCTCCCTTCATGAAGGTGCAAGAGAGCGATTCTTCTCTAAAAGAAGTGAATGCGTTATAAAACGAATGACAGTCATGCGAAAACAGAACTCTGGCATTTTAGACAGTAACACCCTTTAGGCTTTGGGTAAATTAGGTTTCCCGGAATTAGGCTGGTCCTGTTTACTGTGTCATGTTGAAATATTAAAAAAAAAAAAATACAGAGGAGGATCTAGTATATATTTCACTTGATAACTGCAATGGAGCTTTAATTCTGCCATATCTTTTCCAGAATCTGGGAAGAATACCCCAGGGGCTGCATCATCATGTAGCCTCATGCCTGTTGCCCGTCCTTACAGCCCCTCTCTGACATGAAGGAAAAAACCCTCCCTCAGATGTCGCAACTCAGAGCACAGAGGCTCTCTCACTGTGTGCCCCGGGCAGGTGGCTTTGTCATCGTTTCTCCCTTGGCAAAGCAGGAGCCTGAAACAGTGTGGGACCGCTCACGCCTACAGCCCAGGTAAGGTGGCAATTTCGTGCGGCAACTTCACAATAACACTCAGCGGGGCAGTGGGGACTATCCGGACTTGATTTGTGCCTCAAGACCCAGGAAGAAGAAGCCACACTTACAGAAAGACCACACTCTGCTAAAAACCAGAGCTTCCAGGACAATCGCTGTGATACCGTGTGTATTTAGGAGCCAGCAATGATCTGAACATGAGGCGATGCCCCCCTGTGGCAATCTCTCGGCTTTGGGAAATCACTGCACAATGGCCTCTCGGTCACAACAGGTCAGGGGGAAGGGAGGGTGTCTCTGCATGTCAGAGAGGAGGGTGCAGCCAGCGCCTGTGGCAGAGCCAGGGGATTCCCGCTCTGAGTTCTCTACTTGGGTGATGGGCACCCCGAGGCGTTTCATGGCCTTGGAAGACCTTAGAGCCCAGTTGAAGACAGGCCCGTGGTGAGCACACCCACATCACCTGAGACATTTACAAAAACACCCAGTAACCTGGGCCAGTGACTGCAATGGCCCCTTGAGAACAAAATGTTAGGTTTGGTGGATCCCCAACAGAGCTTTTTAGGAGGGTGGTTTTGATATTCCATTTCTCAAATGCCACAGTGTGATTCAATGTGGCACCACTGAACTACTCTCTTCTGCCTGGTACTATCTGTGCCAAACGTGCCCTGATTCCCTTATCAGGCCACATGCTCCTGAGGCGCCTCTGCAGAGCTGTCTGCTACGCCCACTAGAGCCTAGGCTGGGCCTTCTAGAACGATGTAGCCGAACTCCGTCAGCCTGGGGTTCAAGCAATCACAGAACATTATTGAAAGCAAAGGAATGCCACGGGTAACATAGTGAAGCTGCCTTTCTATTTCTTCTGGAAGTCTCTGAATTCAACCTTCCCTTTGACTTTGCCATGCTTCCAGATGAAAATGTTCCCTGCCTGCCAGTAAGTTCCTAAAAATGTGACTATTTCTTGCTTTGCCTGGAAAGGAATATCTGCAACATAACAATAGGTCCGGCGCTGGTTAAAAGCTGCAGTTCCTCTCTGGAGGTCAGCATTCCCTAAGGAACGTGTGGAGCCCCAGCTAACAACCAGACCAAAGGTAACCAGGCGGTTTCAGAAAACAGGAAGCTGCGGAGGTGAACCTAACAAAGAATATTTCAGGAAAGTGTGATTCAAATGAGTTCTCCCAGAGGAGGCTTGGCTTGGAACATGCCCTCCCAGTTGACCACAACATGCTGTGTTCCTCAAATATTTGCAGAGCTTAACGACGTTGACTTTTCCAAACCAGGAAAACAAACCTAATAAACTACTGACAATGGAAGTGATTTGTTCCTTAGAGCAGCTGCAGGGCTGGCTTTTCTGCTGCAGAGCTTGCTGTCAATATTGTCTCATTAGGAAGCAGCCAACCACATAGAAGTACCCACTCGGTGCCCAGATCTTGGTTTTTCTATTTATTTCCCAATAGAAGGAACCTGAACTGCCTGGAGAAATGGCTCATTCTAGATTCGCCTGGAATAATATGTCAAAGGATGTAAGAGCCCAGCAGAAAGTGTTCCCCACGGGCAAAGCTGGAACAATTTCGGCAACAAAATAAATACTGTAGTACTGAATATAGAGTATACAACAGATACCCATGAGTCAATCTATATATATATAAAAGCCCAGCGACCGAATGGTGGAACAGCAAGAATGACTGGTCAAACCAGCTATGATATGCACTGATCACGAGGGGCAGACGCTCAATGCAGGAGCTGCCCCCTGGTGGTCAGTGCACTCTCACAGTGGGAGCAACACTCCTGTAGTGGGCTGATCCTCTCAGGTCACGTCCCCCATCAGTGCATGAATCCAGTGCACCAGGCCTATAGTATTGATATAGGAGAGCTGGGCATGGAAAGGGGGAAAGAGTACCTTTACAGTAGAGAGACCTAGCAAACATGACCTCGGGAGGTGCTCAAGGTCAACATCAGCAATGATGAGTCATGCTGATGTCTTGTGCTCCTGATAAGATGGGACGAGACTTGCACTTGACCCAGATGATCTTCCTCCCCAAATCCAAAGCCCCCTCTAACCACGAGAAAAACCTCAGACAAACCCAAGTTGAGGCACATTTACACAAAACCCAACCAGCATTCCTTAAAACTGGGAATGCTTCAACAACAAGCCACGTCTGAGAAACTCACACACACCAGAGGGTTAGGCTAAGCAGACAAGATGACAAGGGCTGTGAGGGGAAAGCCAGTGAAACCTGAATCAACTGTGCAGTTCAGTTCACAGTAACGTGTCAATGTTTGTTCCTTAGCTGTGACAATGGACCACAGCCAAGTGAGGGAGAAGGGTGGGTGGGAACACTGTGCAATTTTCACGGTGTTTCTGTCAACCGGAAATAATTCTGAAACAAAAAGGTGATGAAGGAGAAGAAAGGAAGGAAGAAAGGAGGAGACCCATGACCCAACACTCTTTTATTCGACAGGCTATGTGCTTCTTTTTCATGGTCAGGACCTGATACTGACCATGAGATTTTTACTTTGAAACATTTATTGGCATTTCAACATATATTCATTGCTTGTAAAGTATAGTCCGTTCCAGACACACCTCTGCCTTCACGATCACTGGCATCTCCTTTCTTTCATTACAGTAGCCTCCCTGGAAACTCACCCCCGTTGGGCTGCAGCCCTTGCATTCACAGCCTGCCCATGCAGTTTCTGGGTAGTGGATGTGCCACGGTCAGATTTGTAGTGATGGTCTGGTCGGGCAGATCAATGGGTAATTTAGCATCTTCCTTAGAAGCAACCCGTTAAGCAGGCTTTACCTGTGTGGGGTTGTTCCACCTTGGAGGCAGCGTTTAACCTTTCATTTCCAAATCCCCATAACGATGAACTAAGTGATGACTAAGTTTTACCACAGATAAAGTCTTCACGTAGGATTATAGTGTGCATGAAGGAGGAAGTCCCAACCCTTAGAGATATAACACCCCATCTGAGATGCTACAGTCTGAATCCATGTGAGTAGGCCCACAGAAGGGGGATCCTCCTCAAGGCCTGCTTCCTTACCCTCCACCAGAGTCTGTTTCTGACCTGCCCTGGGACAGTCTCAGATTCTTTCCCAAGAATGTGGGATTTGAAGAAGCCAGTTGCCTCCATCAGCATTTGAACTCAGAGCACCCACCAACCCAGCCATTTCTGCACAGCCGGAGAGGGTCCCAGCCCACAAGGGAACATTGCCAAGAGCTCTGGTTGTGACATAGTTCCAGAGCTCCCTAAACTGCCGCCATTACCCTGAACAATCAGGCTTAGTACCAAGCCAGAGAGTCTTGTCCCCTGCAGTGAGAAAGGAAATATATGCAGCTGTTATGCATTAAAATGGCTGGGCATAGTTTTCATTGGGAGCCTTTACTTAGTAAGAAAAGTTCAACAACCATTTAATTGGGTTTAAGTCTCCACTGCCTAAACCTGAGGTTAACCCTTATCAATACCACATACAAAGAGGTGGTTACAGCTTGGCTTGGGGCTGCAAGATGGTGAGTAAATTGATTTACATTCTGGTGCCAGCTCCTTAGCCCTCGGATGACCGGATGACCAAACCACCAGCATGTCTGTGGTGCCATGACCCATGTAGATGCTTATACCCAAGAAGGGCACAGTGAGTGGGACCAGTTGGTCTTACTCTCATTATTGTAGAAGGTTTCCTGGGACCAGAGTAAAATGCTACCGGAGTAAAATGTCAGTAGGTTGTGAGATTAGGATTGATTTTATTTTCCTCTTTGAACATTCCCCCGTTTTCCACAAAGAGCATGTGTTCCTTTTTCTTTACCATATATACTTTTTTTAAATGGCAGGAGCTCCTGTATCTGTCCATCTTCATAAGGTATTTAGGACAGGGATGAGCAAAGTCCTGAT